AGGATAGAACATGGCTGGGACGAGGACACCGACAGCTCGTTCCTTAGATCCGGACGCCATCTCACTTTCGACGGAATCATCTTGAGACAAGCCGCCGATGTCCGAAGGATACGCTAATTTAAGAGCCCTATAAAGCGATGGGTAAACAAAAACGGGGACCCTCTCTTTGAAATTTTGGTTTGATTCGTCCATTTCTGGGTCGAGTAGGTAGGCAGCTGGGGGAACCATTTTTAGAGACGACTGGGCCTCCTCTATCATGCCCCAAATCTCCCGCGTACCCGGGCCTGTTCTTACGACCGGCACTTCGACATCCAAGCCGTTGATCTGTTTAAAGTTCCATAAAACTTTTAAGGCTTTCGGGTTCCTAGTCTGCCCGAAAACCCTCTCCGCCTGTACCCGGGATACGCGGCAGACGTCTTCCCCTGGGAGATATGGTGGCTTAATTTTTTTTTTTTTTTTTGTCAATAGCTGCCTGTGAATCGGGGCTTCTATTTCTTTTCTTTTGAGGAGATTGATTATGTGTTTGAACAGGTGTATCTCTGGGAGTGGTAGAGGGTGTCATGCCGGAAGGGGTCTTAACAGGGGAAGGTTTTGTTGAATGATAAGATTTAGACGGTGAGTTCGTCAATGATTTGGGCGGAGGTTGTTTAGTGAAATGTTTTTTTGGTTGCTGAAAGGGAAGACGGGGCAGAGGATAAGGGGGGCCCGGTGCCCCCAGCGATTTCTGATTTTTAGCCCGCTTTGTCTCCAATTTCTCCTTAAGCTTTTTGATATCCAAAATTTTCTGCCAGCTCGGCTCATTCATTTTTTGCGTTGATGTGGCATTTTCTTCATACGACGACGAGGCGTCGCCCTCAGAGCTGGTAAAGGGAATGGGGCTGTAGGTGTTTTTATACCGGGGTCATGATGGGACAGAGGCCTCGCTGTTCGGATCTTCCCTTTGCCCTTAACTACGAGACGCCATTCCCCCTCTTCCTTTTCCTCATCCACATTTGTGGAAGGCGTCGGTTTTGGAGGTAATGTGGGTAAAGACCCAACCGAGGGATTTTCCCCACCGGTCCGCTTCGTAGTTAGGCCCATTACAGGTGCCGCGGATTTGACAGTCTCGGCCAAAGGGGGATTTTGGTCGCCAGCGGCCGGAACTCCAGGGGCCTTCTTCCCTGAGCAGGAGGAGGAAAGGTGACCAGTCTTTCTACACCTCCGGCAAGTAGGTTTCCTACCGGTCACAATGACCGGCATTTTCCGGCCGCCTAAATCCAAAAAGTTGGGGATGGACTTGAAGACCTTCTGATCCAACATAATATCGAAAGTCCATCCCCCGTTCAAGTTGTCGGAGAGAGCCCCTAAAATCTGTCTGTGCTGCATAAAAAATGCAACCAGGTGCTCTCCCGATACCTGAGGAGGGTCCTCAAATACGGCAACCTTGGTCCTTCGCCGACCCTCATATTCAGTCCTTAGAATTAGGTCTTTCGTGATCAGTTCTTTTTTCGCCATTGCTCGGCAATCTTCTGGCGTGGGCAGCAGTATGTCCCACATGAAAAACCCAGCACCTTTAATAAATCTTTGGGGTTTTATCTCCAGGGACAAAAGTGATTTAATCACTATGTCATTCGTAGAGCGACAAATTTTGCGAGTTCGCTTGTCCACTACGAAAATCGACACCGTTCTCTTTGAGCTTGTGGACGTCTTCAAGGAGCCCATCTATATTTACAAAAAAAAATCAAACAAAAGAAATGAAAAATGAAAAAAGAAAACTTAAGCAATAACTTAACTTTAACAGAAAAAACTGAAAGTTCGACAACAAAAAATAAACAATGAATTCCAAAGATCTCGACGCTTCAGTAAAAAAAAAAGGTCTGACACTCGTCTTACAATCACCTCATACCTCTTGAGAGACGCAGTATTTATAATGTCAGGAATAGTTCATTATTATTATTATTGGTAGGTTCCCATAACAGTAATAGATATGGCATCAATGATGAGAACAATAGTCCAAATAATATAAATAGTGTACATAATACCTCATGTCAGAAATATAGACAGATACTGAATCATTTCACTTTTATAAAACGCTTAAATAATAACAATATTTACTAATATAATATTTGATAAGTATTGCATAATATGAATTGGTACTGGTGAGAATGAAAGGATCCTATTCAAGTCTGCCATTAGGCTGACATAAATCAAGCTGATCGAAAAATGAATGATACTTAACACACGACAATAATGGTAATCTTCATCTGAGAAGCAGAATTTATTTAATCTTTCTGATACTATTTTCAAGACATATTGTAATGAAAATAGTAGTTGTTGCTATTTCTGCACCAATCATTTGGTCGTATTACTCAAGTTATGCTTTTCTTTATTCTTCGGCTGGGATCAAAGTGTAGTATGCCCCACACCTGGGGCGAATTAACTGCATTTTATCTCTCAGTTGTATCTTTGTTTTCGGACAGAGGGTAACTCAGTTGTCTGTCTGCGCAACTAAAAATATTAGTAAGAGGTTCCTGGTCTCGGGGAATAGCTGCCAGCAACATTATCTGCCTCATTTCACTAAAGAGTGGGGATCAGTAATCATACCGAGGTCAGAGCAAACGACGGTAAGGGGGGGGGCTATTTTGGGACCAGTCTCAGGTGCCCGTGCTCGTGGTCCCCTCATTACACTGACTATTCGTCACATCCTAGCGGGCGGCAACTAAAAAATAAGAGAAGAATCTGTCTTCGGGTGGATAAACTATATTTTATTTCTCAATTGTGTCTCTGTATTTGAACAGAACGCACATGCAAATATTATTGAGAGAAGAAAGGCAGAGAATATGTTTTAGTCTATACACGATTTTATGAAGAATATTTTTGTTTCTGTTTCACTTTTGTTATTAAAACTCCCATTATTTTGATAATAAAAAATCCGACAAGAATGGTGAAAATTTGTATGAAGCTGGTCGCAAATGGATGATCTAGCGATTAAAACACTTCTTAACCATTTTCGTAAATTATTTCTATATAATCACACACACACACACACACACACACACACACATATATATATATATATATATATATATATATATATATATGTGTGTGTGTGTGTGTGTGTGTGTAGGCCGATCTAGGTACGGCCATGTGTGTGTTCTCATTATTTACATCAGAAAATTCAGATTTAATTTTTCAATTACTATATTTTGTCCGCTATTTCTGATGACAACATTTGTATTTTCCTATATTGTGTTAACTTTTTAAAACTTTGTATGACGGTTCTAAAGATAATTTATAAGTCAATGTAAATGTAAAAAAAAATGTAAACATCGTCCAGTGAATGCAAAATAATGTCTGATCAACATGTTATTTATGTCAATTACATTCGAGAGAATGTATTCACTTCTGTTGTTTCCATGAAAATGTTTCAGCAAGGTGCTTATTGATTCGAGTAAGTTCATGGAATTTCGAACTGAAAGCCTTTCTTTTTCACCTACGGGGAAGGGTTTCTCATGTTACAAAGAACGGCATACGGCTTTGTGATAAGGCCAACAAAGATGATGACCATAGAAGCTAAATAAGTTCAACATCCTGGAAATACAGACAGAAATCGTCCATAGTTCTTACGATAAGGAGTTTGTCAAGTACAAACCAATGTGGCACAATAAACTAATTCTGCTGAAAAAATAATTTAAACGTGTAATAAATGATCTAGGTATTCGTAAAAGAATAAAAGGCATTCTTTAGATATTAATGAAAATGTTGTTAGTCCGTTAGATCCAGGGATATTTTCTATTTTCTATTATAATTTAGCTAAGTAAATTAGTTACCTAAGAATCAATGAATGATTCGAAATTGCGTAGCTTATAAGTGATAACCGAAGCAATGATTTTCGCAACGCATTCAGTAAATACCTCGTACTATCGTCATTCCGTTCACATATATTCAATTTCCATTTCATCTGAGCACCGCTTATACGTATCTGTACAAGGAAATATAAATAAATAAAATATGAATATATGAATAATCTGTAGAAGATAGAAATGAACCTATAATATCAACATGTTAAATATTTCATCACAACCCCGGATTTTATATGTTTCTGGATAATAGCTTTTTCACAAGCCATACAAATTATCATCTCTGTAAATGTGTTTGATTTCGTGTTAGGCCAAACATCGCTAAGTGAGTAGTATTGGCGTGACCTTAATGCACAGCAAAATTTATCTATGGTTGCAGATTATCAGGAAGAAAAAAATATGCATTCCATCAACGGAATTTAAACCTAGGTTTGTTAATGATCTGGGTGTACATATAGTGTAGCGGCTGTCGTCAAAGACGAGGAATTAGCATGCCGAGTTCAAAATCCAGTCAATGGTGTTGCATTCAGTTTTGCGTAGATACCACTGGAAAAGCATGAATCTATCTCTTCTTCCGTCATGTAAGAATTAACAAAAAACCCTTTAGCCATAACTAGAACTCAGTCTAGGAAAAGATTTATTTTGAATTAAACACCACATCGTAATTCCTGCTTACTATGGAAACTAAAGAAGCGTTTTGACGCAATCGCCCTATAGTCCAAAAGAGAGGCTAACATTTACAGATTTTTAAGTTCTGTTGTTGAAAAAATGTAAGTTTTTCTTCTCTGAAACTTCTATTATTTTGGAGTTTGCCCAAGCTTTTTTAGTTTTTATCGAAACATTATCAATCTTTCTTTCATATGGGAGCTCAAAATGTGGGATCAACGTAGCATACATTAAATAGAACAAAGAACTAAAAGAATATGAATACGAATTTTGATTTGAATATATTATTGTTAAATACCCAGTATGGACCAAGAAGGAAAAAAATGTGTTTTTTAGGAATCAATACCCCGAAGTAGTTGTTAGTTTATGATGAATTAATGTCATCACTCACTTATGTCAAGATAGAGGTCGGCTAAGCAAAATTGGTCGCTTTTCTCTTGTTTATAGGCATCGTTCAAAACTCATTTTCAAACTTCCGGGTTTTAGAGACGATATTCATGTTATCAAAGAGATAGATAGATAGATAGATAGATAGGATTCGATCTGATAGATAGATAGATAGATAGATAGATAGATAGATAGATAGATAGGATTCGATCTGAACAGACTCAGATAGATAGATAGATAGATAGATAGATAGATAGATAGATAGGATTCGATCTGAACAGACTCAGATAGATAGATAGATAGATAGATAGATAGATAGATAACATGAGCGATAACCACTGTCGGTTGCGCCTTGCTAGATCCAACTTAATGTTTTACATAAAAATTTCTGTTTCTGAACTTCAAATTTTTCCATCATCAGGCGATGGTAGCTAACTTATAATGAAAATGATTTACTTTTTAAACACGGTACCTTATTTAACAGTTGAAAAGGGGTGGGGAACAAGATTTCAAAATTTTGTTGGTATGTCTAGGTTAACCAATCAAAAGACGAGTCAAAGCTAAAGCAGGAAATGAGAAATATAGTTTGAAGATTAGGGGTAGGTGCGATATTCATTCAGGTCTAGATGATATTTTTATGACGCGTCACCATTAGCTGACATCCGGTTATTAATGTAAATTTAAGATACATTGAAGTAGTCACAGAGATATATTTAACAAAAGGTTAATTTAAAAGTATTTCAATATTTTCTTTTTAAATTTTTGTATATACTTCAGAACTGTCTTAAAGTGGACTCTAGTGTGATTAAATCATTTTATATATATTATTTTGAACCTAAAATACAATAGATATTATGTTGAATAAAACATAGCAATATTAAAGGTAAAAAATCAAGGAATTAAATAGATATTACATGTACCATTATATATTAATAGAATAATGAATATATGATGGTAATACATAGACAGTTTATTTTATTAACTATATCTTAAGGTAAACATTATACAAAACCTACAAATTACTGTTAATTCATTGAGCTGATTTAGGATATCGTAAATTTTAGGAGACTTAATAATATGCAGATTTTCATATAGGCATAGAGGACATGGGTCATTCAAGGACCTACAAATTCTCGCTTTTTTTAAATTTCTCATTTTACTTAAGGCTTTTGTTGATTTCTTTTAAATTCCAAAAATATTTAGAGAGGGATGTTCGTTTACGGTACGCAATTTTTTTAAAAGAAGAAATAGGTTGATACCACCTTTGTTTAAAAGTTTTTTTTGTGCTACCAATATTCCTTAACATCTGGGTTTTCAGTAGAGAAAATGGTGCATTTATAAACCATAGATTCAGTAATGGACAGTATGAAATTTCTACATTTACAGTATGGACTTTCTACAAGTACATAATTTATTATCAGTCTCCGGAAGCTCATAAGATGAATGCCGGTTTTTCACAGATGTTTTGACTGATTAAAACACAGCACAAGTTTATCTGTAAGGGCCGAACAGCTGTATCAAATAATTTATTTGAAAAGTGTAAGTTGGCCTTCTACTTTTCCCAAATGCAAATGTGCAAGCATCAACTTCGATAGTAAAATTTATATGATGCTTATAAATGATATTATTTAAATCTTCTTTGGCTTTTCTGAATGTTAACAAGGTGATTTCAGACAAGAGGAACACTCATTTTTTTTCCCCGTCAATATGTTTATAAAAATTGATGTTGACATCTATGAGCGTATCGGGAATTGCTGGCAATGGGGCCTTTGGTGAATGAATAATTTAAGTAATCAATTAATAATTGATTAATAAATAATTCTTTCAATTAATAAAAATCATCAGGTAACTTAATAGTTACATTTCTAGCTACACCATATTTATGAAATTTTATTTTACCTATGCACACACACACACATGCACATATATATAAGCAAGCGCCCGAGGGGTTAGAACTTTCGCATTCTTACCATGAGACTTGGGTTCGAATCTCACTATGGTCGATTTGTCAGACTTCCTGATGTTATCGGAGTGGAGGTGTCGATCCCAACGTGTAGGACCTTTGGAAAGTGCCTGAAAACCATACCACGAGTTGACCTAAGCCTTATCAGTGAAATTGGGTAGATGGAAACCTTGAGTGGTGTCGATAGCTGTGCTAGCAAAAAAGCCACATGCCATGGTGGCCGAGAGCATGAGTGTGCTGGCCTTATTTAAATTATTGATCACGCTAGATAACACACACTTTCCGAGAAAGTATAACTCAGCATAGTTGCAGTATAAACCAGAGTTGGGCTCTGTAGGTGTTGAATAAACGCAAATCCACCGAAGCAAGCATCTGCAATAGAGATTGGCTAGCCGCCCTAGTAAACGGGTATTCTCGAATATGAGTGGCCAGCTATATATATATATATATATATATATATATAAAAAAATATAGTCTTAATGTGTGCTATATTTATGGGATAAAGAGCTCAATATCAGAGATAGAGCGTGTGTAAATATAAAAGTGAACATAGAAGTCAACACTTAGAGGCGACAGTCTGTTTCATGCTATATGCAATCGTCAGGCCACATATGCTGTTATTTTTCTCGGCTATTTATATATATGCGGGTTAGTGGTGCATTGTGGGTATTCTATTATGGCGGTTATTTTTTACCGGAAGTCGCTTTGTCTATTTATTTGGGTCAAATTATATTGCTCGTTTTTATTTTTTATTTTTTTTCTTATTTTATTTATTTATTTATTTATTAACGTAGTAAAAATTTGTTTATATCACGTATTTAACAGTTTTGTTTTGGTTTGAGAATTTAATTAAAGCTATTTGTTCAATTTTTGGGGTTGGTTGTTGTAGTTCATTCTAACTATTATTTTTTGGCGGGAACAGTTTTTAATTTGGGATTGGTTGGATGAATTTAGGTCAATTTATTTGTATATTTTCTCTTTTCGGTTTTCGGTTTTTAAGCAACATAGTATTTATTTATTTTATTTTATTTTTATTAGTGTATTTGTTTGTTTTTATTTTATTTTTTCCGTTTTTCATTTTTTAGGTTACGTAGTAAAATTTATTTTCATGCCTGCATTTTTGAGATGAGCTCGGATCTTTTTATTTAATAATTTATTTTGGTCGGGGAAAGTAATGATAGCTATTTTTTTCCTCCAAGCAAAGTTTGCAAGTTTTTGATTGGTTGTTGTAGGCTGATGACTTTTTCCTTATCTTCCAAGATATTTTTGGTGTGATGTGCGTTTTGTTTTTTATTTTCCAGATATACTTAGAAAGCATAGTACTGTTCGCATATTTACTATTTGTGAACGATGTTTTGTGTGTATAATTTCTTTGCTTCCAGGGTCCTTCAGTTACTCCTATGTATACTTTTTCTTCATTATCTAGTGATTTTATCGTGGCTTGGTATATTACGTTGTTTTGTAAACAATTTCCGCTTAAGGGACATTCGTTCTTTATTCTGCAGTTGCACGTGGGTTTAGTTTGTTCGTGTGGTTTGTTGATAATTTTCCTATTGTGCTTTTTTTATTATTTGTGCCATGCTCTCGGTGCAGCTGTAGCTGATTTTTTTACTGTGTTTTGTTGAATATCTTGTGTAATGTGCTTGATTCTGGGAAGTGTTTGTGTAGGAGTTTGAAGAATATTTTTCCTATGTTTGTTTTACGTTCTTGCTGTACGGTGGGTTGAACCATATGATATTTCTTCTCCTTGAACCATATGATATTTCTTCTCCGGATTCCCAGCAATACTCACATACTCACCACAGAATACAAAAAAGACCAACAGGAGTAAAAATCAGCTACAGCTGCACCGAGAGCATGGCACAAATAATAAAAAAGCACAATAAGAAAATTATCAACAAACCACACGAACAAACTAAACCCACGTGCAACTGCAGAATAAAGAACGAATGTCCCTTAAGCGGAAATTGTTTACAAAACAACGTAATATACCAAGCCACGATAAAATCACTAGATAATGAAGAAAAAGTATACATAGGAGTAACTGAAGGACCCTGGAAGCAAAGAAATTATACACACAAAAAAACATCGTTCACAAATAGTAAATATGCGAACAGTACTATGCTTTCTAAGTATATCTGGGAAATAAAAACAAAACGCACATCACACCAAAAATATCTTGGAAGATAAGGAAAAGTCATCAGCCTACAACAACCAATCAAAAACTTGCAAACTTTGCTTGGAGGAAAAAAATAGCTATCATTACTTTCCCCGACCAAAATAAATTATTAAATAAAAGATCCGAGCTCATCTCAAAATGCAGGCATGAAAATAAATTTTTACTACGTAACCTAAAAAATGAAAAAACGGAAAAAATAAAATAAAAACAAACAAATACACTAATAAAAATAAAATAAAATAAAATAAATAAATACTATGTTGCTTAAAAACCGAAAAGAGAAAATATACAAATAAATTGACCTAAATTCATCCAACCAATCCCAAATTAAAAACTGTTCCCGCCAAAAAAATAATAGTTAGAATGAACTACAACAACCAACCCCAAAAATTGAACAAATAGCTTTAATTAAATTCTCAAACCAAAACAAAACTGTTAAATACGTGATATAAACAAATTTTTTACTACGTTAATAAATAAATAAATAAATAAAATAAGAAAAAAAAAAAAAATAAAAACGAGCAATATAATTTGACCCAAATAAATAGACAAAGCGACTTCCGGTAAAAATAACCGCCATAATAGAATACCCACAATGCACCACTAACCCGCATATATATAAATAGCCGAGAAAAATAACAGCATATGTGGCCTGACGATTGCATATAGCATGAAACAGACTGTCGCCTCTAAGTGTTGACTTCTATGTTCACTTTTATATTATATATATATATATATATATATATATATATATATATATATATATATATATGTTTTGTTGAAGACGGTAAGCATGGTATTCCGATTACGCTTTTTATTTTTTCTTTCTTGAGTTTGCATAAGTGTTTTTTTTTTTTTCTGATCATAAAATATGTAAGAATTGTCCAAATATCCTGCATATCCGAGAACTTTCCGCTATTCCATTAGCTATTATTAAGTTTTTTTTTTTTTTGTAACTGGATGTGCAGATTTTTTTCATATGTTTCTGGAGTCTTGGAAGTGTTTTATTATTTTTTACAAACTCTTTTCACACAGCTAAAAATGTAAAAAAAAAGATCCGTGATAATTGCTAATAGAATTGCCGAAAGTGCTCGTATGTATAAAACACTCAACCAGTTTTTCACTCAATTAATATCCAGAAGAGAAAACACTTAAACGAACATATGAAAAATTCTATAAAACAATTATTCGGAGTACCTTTTTCAGTCGTCTTTATTGAAATTTTTCTAAAAAGTGATTGCTGCTCAAATATACATTTATCTATATATCATTGCTTTGCCTGATATGCAGCAGATCTGAACACCAATGATCAGGTCTCAGATTTTGGGAAGAAACTTGTGAAACAATATGCCATGCAGTTTGAAGTGTGATGAATATGCCGCTAAAATGGCATATGTATTCAACAGTTCTCCAAAGAGTTTTTCGTATTACTGCAACTTTTGGATAACATTCATTCTTACATTTATTCCTTAAACCCAGAAACGAGGTTAAATCTTTTCAAAGATATAAGAAATATGATCTTCAGGGTTTGGAATTCGTTTCTGAGCTTATTAATTATATGGAAGATTTTTTTTTAAGATTTGGAAGAGAAAAAGAAATGGCGCAAGACATGAATTGAGTAAACGGTTTGTTGCACTCAATCCACAGATACTTCAAAACATGCATCAACTGGACCACACTGTTAGAAGATACATTGTCCCATAAAGAAATGTGATTTTCTGCAGTTTTCAAAAATAGTCCCCTTAAAGTTATATCAGTCAGTTATGTGTCATGGGTGATACACGCTTAGGCAATCATGTATCTTTCGATACATGACTGACGAGGCAGATTTTTCCAGCAGTAGGTTGCCTTTTTTTTCTGCGGTACACTAGTTGCCATCATCAATCCTAGCTGCCATCCATTACTCCACCGTGCCTAAAGTCATAGAGCTAACCTAGATTATCACATCATCATACTTCAATTCATCACTTATCATTTATTCAGTTAGTGCATGTTCCATTTCTGTAGTCACCACTCCCCCCCACACACACACATCTCACAATTGTTGTTCATGGTAATATTCAAAGTAGTATAGTGCAATGGTTTGCTGATTCGTTTTTTAACGGAGGTGTTGACGTTAGCCCGTCCCTTCTCTTGGAAGTTAAAGGGGCAAGACCAGAAAATTATTCTGGATTCAGAGTTTTTCTTCTTTTAGACTGGTTGCCAACCAAGACTATAGAGCCCAGTCTGCCCTGCTATTTGAGAAGAGATTGATTCATGACTTTCACGTAATTGAATGCAATGAACTCGAGTGGAATTTAACCCCGGCTCTCCGATTCTTCAATCCGAGTCGCTAGCCATTACTCCACAGTGAATAATTTTGTTTATCCCCCCTAATCACGTGACTATTACCCCCGCTGAATTTTGGTTGGTAAATAACGCAATGAAAAACTCGAAAAATCGATGTTTCATTGTCCTTTACATGGTTATATTTTGTTTCGTGAAAGCTTTTTTGAGAACTTCATTCGAAATTGTTTAAGAAGAAGAGGGAGAAGGAAAAACGAAGTAGAAGGAGAATAATAAGAAGAAGGAGAGGGAGAAGGAAAAACGAAGCAGGAGGAGAATAATAAGAAGAAGGAGAGAGAGAAGGAAAGGCGAAGTAGGAGGAGAATAAGAAGAAGAAGGAGAGGGTGAAGGAAAAACGAAGTAGGAGGAGAATAAGAAGAAGAAGGAGAGGGTGAAGGAAAAACGAAGTAGGAGGAGAATAATAAGAAGAAGGAGAGGGAGAAGGAAAAACGAAGTAGGAGGAGAATAATAAGAAGAAGGAGAGAGAGAAGGAAAAACGAAGTAGGAGGAGAATAATAATAATAAGAAGAAGAAGAGGGAGAATGAAAAACGAAGTAGGAGGAGAATAATAATAATAATAATAATAATAATAATAAGAAGAAGAAGAAGAAGAAGAAGAAGAAGGAGAAGAAAAATGAGTATAAGAAGAGGAAGAAAAGAAAAAGAATAAAATAAGAGTTAAACACATTAAATAAAAGAAAATCCCTTCTTTTTTATCAGTTTCTTTAATTATTTATTCAACTTCAACAAAAAAGTTGTCGAAAAAAGCTGATGTAAGAAATGTATAAGGGGTGGGGGGTGAAGGTAATATAGTGGATAATCTGAAGACAAATATGAAGAAGAAACAGGAAGTCAATAAAATTTGAATGGTGTAAAAAGAAGAGATTGAAAGAAGAAACAAAAATGATGAAGTTTGCTGTTTTTGACTGAAATCGAAAATAAAATAGAATCAAAATCAAGCTGAGGCGTGATAGCAAATATTACGTTCAACCTTCACAATATATTTGCACTTTCTGCTACCAAGATAGATTTCTTCTTTCCTTTCCATATATTAAATAGTTTCCATCCCACCTTTCAAGCAGCGTTGAATCCTGGTTCTTATCGACCGTACACGTTTTCGACTGACAGCAACCTGCCAGAGTAAATGTTAGCTTTCTGTCTTGTCGGAGGAAACTTTATTTTGTGTCTGGTTAGTGAATCGGATGTCTGCCCTCCATTGTCTAATGTATAACTTTGCTTCTTTTTGGCGGGTAAACGTCTGCGCTTATTGGTAGCTGATTTTGAAACATTTGATTTTTCCATCAAGCTTGAAGGTAAGCAACTGTGGTTAAATTGATTTTCCTTTTATTCCTGATTTTAAATACACGATAATGAGATCCGAAATGGTACAATTATCTAGTTTTCTACAATCAAACATGGCCTCCATAAAGTTATTGATTTCCATGATAAAGGTAAGCTCACAGCTTTAGCAGCCATCTCAATAGGGAAAGAAGCTGCTTGTAATTTTCAGTACAAACCAGCATCACCGTCCAGGCAACGTATTGCTTCGATGAATGGTTCTACTCTGAATGAGGATCCATAATTTAAACGTGTCTCTTGGATGTCACCACAGACAATTATCTGATTTCTTCCGCTACTCTTTATATTAGAAGGAATCTGATTAGGTCAAAATGAGGTACTTCAACCCTTTCTGGCACGGAGCTGTCCAATTCGAACTTTCCAGCCTTAGTATCGTTGAAAAATGTTTTCAAGTTTTCCTGATGGAAACTATATTCTCCACTATGCGGCCGTTTTCCCACAGACGAAACGTTTTATAGACTATATTGTTATTTCCATAGCAAACACTGAGATTACATCAATTCTTTAGTTCGATCAGTTTTGGAAAATACTCCCGCGAGGTTGCTTCTAAGACCAATTTTATGCTGGCATCTTGAATAGTAATTTTTCATCTTTCTCCTAATAACTTTTACTTTCTGACACCTTTTTTCGATTCCTCTTAAACACCTCATTCACCATAACCACATTCAATGTAACACTTTACGTGGCTCACGAGCCCTGTGTTAAGTGAGACTGAGCATTATAGCTTATGATATTTGAATTTTTAATCATAGCAAACTGCATAAGATCCAATTTTTTATTAACTTCCCCTTTATGTCCCGCCTCCCCTCAGGGCGTAGGTGATCATGTCTCTCCAGAACTTCCTGTTCCTTGTAGCACTTAAAAATATTTTGTTTTTTTGTTAGTTCTCCTGTTCCGCCATGTATTTACTCAAGCTCATTTAAATATGTTATGCATTGTTTTCCTCTGTAACGCTTGCCTTCAATCTGTCACGTGAGTATCAAATTTCCAAGCTCTCCTTCCTCATGAGGTGTCCTAATGTTAAGTATTAGTTTCCTAAAGTATTAGCTTTCTTTACACTTTATAAGACTATATTGAGAACGAAATCTATTTTATACAATAATTTTCTCCCTATAGAAGGCGCTGGAGTTAGATGTTTGCAGAGTAAGAAGCACAATTTATGAGGATATATGGAGAAGATACCGGTCAACCCTAGACTTGAACACGTTAAGATTGTAGGGATAAGGAAAGCCTCCTGTAGGGAGTCGGTTCCACAGAGCGATCGTACGAACAAGCTGGTGGAGTAGAGCATGCACCTCAGCAATGGAATACAAAGGGAAAGAAATTGGTTCGTTACACTGGGCGTGGTATGGCGGATCTTAGCCGTGAGGGTGAGAACTGTTGGAACTAAAGAATGTAGTTCGTTTGAACACTTCTCAGGCTTATTCCCGTATGATCACCGAAGTTAAGCAACATCGAGCATGGTCAGCTCCTAAATGGGTGACCATTTGGGAATACCAGGTGCTGTAAACTTGAATGTGCTGTAATGGATAATGCCTCGGAACTTCTTATCGGAGTGCCGAGTTCCAATTCCCGTTGGACTCCTTATATTTATTTATGCACTTGCGAAATGTACGTGTCTACTTTTTCTCCTCCTATGTATGGATTAATTAGTAAGATTTGTATCACAAAACCATTATTATTTCTAAAGAATTCACCGAATCTAAAACATTTTCTGTCTTTAAATAACCTGCAAGCTGTTGATAAGCGGTACAAAAACGAATCAATCCACAAAAACCAACGAACATGTTTCTTATGAAAATAGCGATGGAATCCCGAGACCCTTGCAATGTTTTCTCTGTGAAAAAAGCGGTTTCAAGTTGGAAAATAATTTATCTCCCACTCTATCATAGCTCAGAAACAAAGGCTAGGTTGTTACTGTTCATATATGACAGAAGCAATCCATTTTCAAGCTTGTCTCGCTCTAATGGAGGTAGCGAGTAGCAGTAGGAGTCATGTATTACTTAATTACTACAGAGAACAGACCCCTTTTCTAGTATCTTTAACGATGGCACGTATTTATGAGTTCCACTTGGGACCTTGGTTGATTTTAAGTCCGAATAGTCGCTCGTTCATCGCCATAGGCGAAAAATTAGATCCGGGTCAGTAAAATCAATCAGTCGCCTGGTCTTTTATTTTTAATTCAGCGGTCCTTTTTACGGTTTTATATCTAAAAAGATTATATAGTATAAGCAACCCGAAACATTTCGCGTCGACACACGTGGCATAATTTCCCCAAATTATGATAGAAAAACATAAAGATTGCAATTATATAAGGCAATTCCTTATTAATCATTACAATAATACTCAGCAAAACAAATTTCATGGAAAGATTACAAATTGCATTAGTAATGTGTAATGTGTAAAAAAAACAAAAGACAGTTATCAAAAACCGGATTGTAAAATAGGTATTCTATAATGAAATTAAATTATCAGAAGCATGGTAGGTCACAGTTATGTAAACCAAATTACAAAATCATTCAAACCAACGAAACTAACTTGGAATTTCGTCTAATTTCTTTCTTTCCTGATAATGAAGGAAGCCAAATAAAATCTCAGAACCTTAAAAAGAATTAACAGAAACGATGGAATGTTTACTTACACTTTCAAGCCGAAGATAAGGAAACTAATCATGAGGAGGAGAATAAAGAATATATAATAGATATGAATTGTCAGTTGTTGCAACTAAACCAGTTTGAATTTTATATATATATATATATATATATATATATATATATATATATATATATGTGTGTGTGTGTGTGTGTGTGTGTGTGTGTGTGTGTGTGTGTGTGTGTTTCAAAAAATAATATGGATGAAATCTTAGAAGTGTCTTTAAAAATTCATCATGTATGCATACTCTTTAAGGATTCTTTACACAAAAGTGATAAGACGTTTTGCTTAAGATTGTTCTTTGATATAAGTGACACATTCAACACTTATTTGTTCATCATATTTTATATTGGAAAATATAAGAGAAGTTAAAGCCTGCATCTTTAAACTGCTGACAAAGAAGCAATCTCGGCAAATACACTTTTGGAATACAGCTGGTTGGTGGGGTGCTGAAAAGTAACCCGGTCATCTCCTAAATTGCAACTGTTCTAACGAAATGTGGCATGCTTCTTGATGGTACACTACACAGGTAGTTAATAGTTTGTACATACTTTATTCTGACATTCTTACTACGTAACTTCAAGTATTATGTCTTCTTGGATTACATGATAATAATTTCTCTTTGCTTTCCTTTAAAATATTATAACTCCTTCAGCCATTTCTTCATTTTTTTCTAATTATTATCAACAACTTGTCATGTGCATATTATGTTGTTAAGATTATGCCTGTCACTAATAGATTCAGTCAGGTGTTCTCTGTTTAAATTAGTGTCGTCTTGCTGTGCAGATTGTGGATTATCCTCCACATAGCTTTGTCAAGAAGTAGTGGCGCTGTCAAACGGCTCTAAAACGTGGTCCTGCCTTTGCCCCCTTCTTTTTCCTATCGGCGCAGCACGTATTAATGACAACACCACAGAGTCCTTTTCCAGAGCAACACTATTAGGGCATCTGCCAGATGCATTCCCCTATCACTCAGACAATTTCTCACTTTTAATACCTTTTGCATCTTTTCTCAGTCATATAAAAACGAAAACATAAAATATCGACATTTTGAAATTAATTCCGTTTCCATAAACTCGTCCTTACCATGTGTAAATATTGTTGCCTTTTCTTTTAGTCCATATACCGCTCCAGTAATTACTCGACTCCTCCTGTTATCCTCTGCCTTTACAAGGACCAGATCAGGGCTAAAATGGTGAACTGATACATATGTAGTCAAGAATTGCCCAGTTTTCACTTTCCAGCCTCGATAGAATACAAAAGAGTTCTTGTGTGTGACAAATTATCCCCCCGCCTTTAATCCTTTTCCAACGGACAAGACGTCGAAAGCCTCTTACTTCTCTATCGCTATTTCCACAGAGACTGCGCTGACGAATTATATTCTTTAGTTCCAATAGTTCTAGTGTTCACGGCTAAAACCAGCCATACTAGGCACAATTTGGCGAATCACCGTCATTGGCTTCGTATTACATTTTTAAGATGTAAGTTCCACTCGAACAGCTTCTTCCCGTACTGCTTTTTGGAATTGATTCCCATGCGGGTGTTTTCCCGATCACTACAATATTAACCTGTTTATGTCTAGGATTAACCGTTATGCTCCACATAAATCTGCCTAAACTCTGCCCTCTAACCCCTGTGAAAAATAGGCCTTGAAGGTGAGCGTTATGGTAAAAAAATAGATGTTTTGAAATACGATTAAATAAAGCCGGTGAGAAAATGCTACCTTGTTTTATACTCATTTTTATTTTTGCTTATTTAGTAATCTGTTTCTCTATTGGCAGACAGTTTGTTTGTTCCAAGTATAATTTTTCGCATAAAAGTGTCAAGATAATATCAATAAAGCTAATGTTATACACTTATGTAAAATACAATAACACCAAATATGTTACCAAAATAAAATAATGGCAATAGGAGTAAATAAAAGTGGTTTAATTCCATATTCTCGAATCGTAACTAAATGAGAATAGCACCTGTCTGATCAAAGATAAAGAACCTACGGGACAATGGCATGTGTATTAAAGCCATGTCTCGTGAATTTGACAAGCAGTGAATGCTGGAAAAATCTCCTGAAAGATGAAGAAGATTCTTGAAGTAACAGAAATATGGTTTCACTGAAGGATACTGAGAATACCATCGACTGAATATATGAGCAACGACAAGGTTCTGGAGACAATAGCAACAGACACATATATTTAATAATCAGAGACAGTCGAAATTCTTGGTGCACAAAATGAGGAAGGTCAGATTGAGGACAAGAGAGGAAAGCAATGCACAACCTAATTGGCGAACTGGAGTGAATTGATGGCGGAGCAGAGTTTGGGAGTGATGGCAAAAAGACAAAAGTTAGTAAGAGCTATAAAAGACATGAAAATTTATAGAACCTTGATAGCCAAAGTTCTAAAGAGATACGACACATAGAAGAAGAAGAAGAAGAAGAAAAGAAGAAGAAGAAGAAGAAGAAGAAGAAGAAGAAGAAGAAAAAGAATCAAACCCAGTGGAGTGAAGGGCCACATGACATAATGGCAGCTACTTTGGGATAAAAAAAGATAAAGACTACGACATTAGTCCGAATGCAAATAATTAAATTAAACTCCTAATTAATAGGATTTTTAAATTAAATCTAACTTTAAATTAGTAGATTCTTATCATAATTAAATAGTACTAAATAGTTTTAAATAATAATAATAATAATAATGAACATAGTATATATATTGCAATGTAATATCGTTTCGGAATCTGAAATCAGAGAGCCACGTTGGAAATCCAATTGGGTTAGTTACATCCACTTACGCACAAATAGCCTTGGGAAAGGTAGGTATCCATCTCTCCTCCCCGAAGCTATAGTTTGATAGGAGGACAGATTGGGGCTTATAGTTGGAGACTAGTCCAACGCAGAAAGAAACGGCAAACTATTGCGGGAAAATCTTTTGCGTAGTCAATCATGAATCGAAAGAGAAATGTTCGCCCAAGCGTGTAACACGCGTATGGTACTTAACTGGCTGACTGAATTAATAGAATCTAACAGCATGACGTCATATATACACAAAAGTTGTAATTTCTTAAAATCTATTGGAAGCAGAGAATAGCCGTGCATATTTTCGATAGGCTTTACTTACATCCTCCGACTGCTTCAACTCTGTTCAGTTTACGGCTAATATTTGCGACTCTTTCGGTTTAGATCGAACCATTACAAAGTTTTTCATGAACGTCTGTCTACGTCAGTTTTCCCGCCCTCTCCTCGTTCGTCCATCCTTACCTTCCAATGAAAAGTCGTATCCGCATTTCACTCCGGGGGCATTCTAAGTACATGAATAGCAAAGAAAATTCAACTCCCAGCAATGGTTAAAGTTCAGTGTTCTTTCACCAATAATTCGTTTGCAGTCTTGTCCTGGTACGTGATATTCAATATTTATTTCAACGCTAGAGTTGTTTCAGTTTTCTGTTCGCATAGAATACAGTTGGGAGTCAGACGGACATTGATGCATCAATACGAGGATGGTCTGAAAAATTAATAAAATATGAAGGAGCGATACTGTGAAAAGTTACATGCATTCATTCCATTTCTTCTTATTAACTACATTATATATTTCCAAGTAAACTAACATCTGCCCAAAGAACACTTCTAATGTAACAAATAGTATTTTAATGGGATATCTTATTTAAAGTCGAAATCTAAATATTTTGTATGTCGTTATATGTTTTGAACTACAGACATTTTGTACACAATTTTATATATTCAAATAAACATACGTTTTTTAGATATATATTTTGTAAATAATAAAATGTATTGGTAATTTTACTACGAAAAATTGCCATTTTGTTATAAAAAACTATTCTCCATAGCCGTGGCCCTAACAG